ATCCGGGCAAACGGTTCAGTTTGTCTCAATCAAAATATTTCCTCAATTTGTAATAATTTTCCCGTCTTTGTGACATTTGAGCATGACCGTCATGATATTATGGCTTCTGTTTCGTGGTTCATAGCTCATATTCAGTCATCACCCTTTCGTGCTTTTCTTCAACTTTTCGCGCCTGCCAGCTTAAGGAAGCTGCGTCGGCTGTCTGAACAAGTGGTAACCAGAGGACCTTAACTGCGGTGGTGCTGGAAAGATTTTCACTTGAATGGTGGAGAGGTTTCTTGAGAAGTTTTGCAAAGTCTGGCTGAGCGTCGAGCCGACTGCCTGCAGATTTTGTGTCATCCATGATCTATTTTCGGACTATACTGTTCAATGCATGTTAACGTTTCGCAGCAGTCATTTGTGGTTACTCAAGCGTCTGCAAGCACTTCCTGTGTTACAGTGGTTGCGTTTCATTGCCTTGAATTTTTCTTTGTTAGAGGGGCAATTTTTTTCATTGACACCAAAATCTTCACTCGTAATTCACTAACCGAACTTCGTAAGAATGTGATGCATGCTCAGTAGATCAGTAGATGATCAGCAGATCAGTGTAACCTTTGCTAGAATCTTGGTGAGTCTTAGTAATTGCTTTCTAGACGACCGAATGCAAAAGTCGTGAATGCCGAAAGTGCAACTTCAGGCGTTCCATTTATGGCAGGTGTAAGCAATGAATAAGTTTGCCACAATGCTGAGAAATTCCCATATTTCATAGAGATTATAAGAATTATCACAAATGACATTTCTGCCGTTACTAACTTATGTTTACTACTAGTTAATAACATTGATCCAAGGTACATCTGCGCCCTAATACCTGCATTTCCAAAGTTGTACGCGAAGGGTCAACGACAAAATTGAATTCAGAGCCATGCACGTTTGTGAGAATATTCTTGCACATCTCTTCATTATGCCTTTTCAGAATCAATCGGGCTCGATCAGATCCAGCCATACATCAGATGTCTATGCACATGATGACTGGTAGTGGTGGCCCTATGATGTTCCCTCACCAAATGCAGGTTGGCGTTTTCTTTTGATTGAAATGCTTATCTTTCAGCTTTTCATTTCTTAAATTTTGATGCATAGTTTTCTAGATACTTGTTTAATAACAATAGTTGGTTTCTAGCATACTTTTTCTAGTTGTGTAGCCCACAACTCAATAATTTCGCACACTCATTACTTGGTAAATGCCAGCTAAATGAATTCCTTAGGGCCACATTGCATATTTGGTCGTGCGACAGCTATACGAAGTTATTACGCGTAACTGTCGCAGCAGCATTAGATGCGTATCGATCGTAAGATTTGCCTGAGTATTCAGATGATCGATGCGTATCTAACGCTGTGTAACCATTACGATCGTGCTGTCGGACGACCGACTACGCATGCGTCATACGGTCTTAACTGAATTATGAAAGAACCTGCTCTCGAGTGTTCGTTGGACTTTTCTGAGAAATACCTGAATGAAAGAACATGGCTGCCCTACAGGATGGCCCGTCGCGTTGGCAAGAAGGCGGGACAGCGGCGAGCAAGAGGCCTACTTGTATAATGCGCGTCACTTAAAGGACGAATTCACGATCAGAGGGAAAATCGAATTAGGAAGAATTCACCTGGTTGAGGGACCCGCGAGCTCCTCCTAAGTGTGCGAACTGAAGCACAATTTGCACAGGAGGAGTTGACCTCGTTGACCTATTAAGGTTTAATCCCGCCGCGGCTGGTCAGTGCACGCCCCCGATCATCTGATCACTCGCCGCAGGTCTATACGTGGTGAGTGATTAGATAGGTGAGAGAGCGTAGCGTTGAAGAGGGCACAGCGATGATAGTCGCATCAATGCTCAAATCAACGGGCAAGGAAGGGGTCCCATTTCTCGGGTTCTGGGCCGTTTCTCATGGTTTTTCCTTCTTTCGTGTACCACTCACCATCGCTAAGTTAATTTGAAATGGGTTGCCTTTCCAGCGTGAATTCGTCCTTTAAAACGAATAGCTAATTGTGCGTCCTACATTCGCCACAGCACGCTGCGACTCGTCCGCTGACTCTGCGCGACGGGCCTCCTGTCGGGTACCTGGTATCCGAACAGCAATGCATAAGCCTTTGTACATCCCCTGGATGTGTGTCTTCCTCTGTCGTCTGTATATTTCGGAGTCATCTTGTGAAAAGCAAATCTATTATAAAAGCTCAACTGTTGTACTGTAAACTTACCTTACATAGCTTATTGTTTTCGAAATAGTGAACTCTGCTACTCGTATTTCGCTGGCCAAAAATTTCCCGCTGTTGCTTTCGTTTAGGTGCAAACTTGTAGCAAAGATCCTCATTACTACTTTTTATATGCTCCTTCTGTCGACTCGTTCTGGCTGCGCCATTGCACTTGGCTTTGAAGCAGAAATTCGTATAAATCGTATACGTTTTGCTACGTAATTTTAGTAGGGCGGAAGTGGTGTAGTGACAAGTGGCGCGCTCACCACGCGAGCGGTCCGGGATCAAATCCTGGGTCGTGAGTCGCCCGGGCCAACCAAGCCTTCCATCCCTCCGGGGTCGGTTAATTGGTACCAGACTTGTCTGGGAGGATAAAAACACTGACTTGAACATCGGCTGGCCCCCGCAAGTCATTGTATAGGCCACATCGCATTCAAATGCCACTGCGAATGTACAAATGGAAGTAGAATGCGTGCCGCATCCCAAAACGGGATTGATCAACGGCAAATGCTTTATCCTTTTTTATCCTTTTGTACAGTATTGGAGAGATAGCCGTAACATTAGACTTACATAGAGGGACAAAGGTTGTGGTAATAAGACATGATAGAGATATAGATGAGGTATAGTTCTATTTATTTCAAGCATCCCTGCTGCCATATACTGTCTGTTCCTTCGTGCCGGTTCTCCGAACTCGCCCCGAAAGCCGTCGAGCGTGGTCATAATATCACTTGATTGATCCTGACCCTTATCATTACGGATTGATATATCATCAACACTATTCACTGCTTGCCTGATCTCGCGGTGGCCAGGCCCGGACGATGGACATTCCCGTGTGGATCAGCCTGAATTATGATTCCGGACTGTATTAGAGCAGGCTACTGGTCTACGGGCTTTGAGCGCTCAGCAATTAGTCGTCTCCTCCTCCCTTCCTTTTCCTACCCCTCCCCACAAAACTTACATGATTTACTAGGTATTCCGTATCTGCCAATTTCAGTGAAGGGTTTAGGTTTTGTTAACTATTATTCACTCCTGCATTCCTACTACTGATTAATTTTTTTTCTGTGTTAAAACTTTCCGGAAGTGGTGTAGTGGCAAGTGGCACGCTTACCACGCGAGCGGTCCGGGGATCAAATCCTGGGTCGTGAGTCGCCCGGGCCAACCAAGCCTTCCATCCCTCCGGGGTCGGTTAATTGGTACCAGACTTGTCTGGGAGGATAAAACACTGACTTGTACATCGGCTGGCCCCCGCAAGTCATTGTATAGGCCACATCGCATTCAAACGCCACTTACGAATGTACAAATGGAAGTAGAATGCGTGCCACTTTTATTTCTCCTTGTCTTCTTCAAAATTAGGTTCCTAGAACATTTTGGATTTCTAGTTTAAGTGAAGTTCAGCTGCTCATCGGTTTCGAGTCTTTTGTTCAGGGCTTGGTATTAACGTATATAATTATATTGTTGCGTATTGAGACTTCTCTGAGATATCGATTCCAGGCTGGCCCAAGTGGGTTGGGGCAAATGATGCCGGTAGGACCTCAGTGTTCAATGCCCAACAATATGGTGCCTCAGCCAGGTACGTCTTATTGAAAGTATCATAAAGAGCGTAATTTTGTGATTTCACCCGTGCCAATCTTTGACTGTGAATGCGAAAATTTTGTTAGCTGACTTCCTTTGGCACCAATAAAATAGGCTTCTTTGCATCTGCGCGTATCCGCCAGGAGGTAGCAACGATGTATCGGCCACATCATCAGGGCAAGCGCAAGGGCGGTACGCTCTTCTTTCTGGCGAACTAACTCCTATCTTACTTTCGTGCGTAGAAGATTACGCTTTATCTCATTTCAAGAGATTTTTTTCACGAGACGGAGGCACGGGATTGGCTTACCCCTTTCCCTGCCCAATAGTTTCACCTTATGTGTGTTTGTATGTCACGAAATTCGGCATTACCTGTAGGATCACCTGAGAGCTTGGGTCAATTTTGGGTGTGGATATAGGCTAAGAAGTGCAGAACAATCATCATGTGAGCGGAAAGCCCGTCCATAGGGAGGGGGCTGCGGAAATGAGCCTCGCTGAAGGCGGAATTCCAACACACGCGCGCTTCAGTCGCTCGACTGAGTCGCCGACTATGGACGTAACCTCAAGATTCCCTCACAGAGGGTATGCAGGGTAGGATGGCATACCGAAGCGAGTACCATATTGGGCGCTGAGCCTTTTCTTTAATGAAAAGAAAAGCGAATGTGGGAGGTTAATCAGCTCACCACTTAAGTGTCCGCAGTAGTTGTTCCTGAAGTTTTTTTTTAAAGAAAACTCTACGAATACTTGTTATCCCTTTTAGGTATGGTGACGCAAAACCAGCCCATGGTTGGCGGACCACAACAGAGCAATCCCCAGCAGGGTGTACAAGGGGTGAATATGCAGTCACCGCTGCAATCACCACTACACTATCCTATGCAAGGTTATGGGTGAGTTGCTGCTACTTTTCTCTCAAGTTTTAGCGACCAGGCTAACTATCAGATAACTAAAGATGTTATGCTCGCAAGAACAGTTGGATCAAATTGAATAGCTCAATAAAGCTTCCCCCTCCTTTTCAGTGGATAGATACTGTTTGGAATTGCTGATATTTTGAAGAGGTTAAGCATGGATGTGAACATAGCTCGCTTCATAACTCCTCATTTTGTTGGCCTAGTAAAGGAATGGAGTAAATAAACACTATATCTTTTCTAAGCAATGCACTACAACTTTATATTTTAAATCGTAGCGGCATTATTGGATTTGGATTATGAACCATTCGCGGTTCCCAGCAGACTCTAAAAAGCCAGTGATCTTGTTCTCCATGACAAATCCCTTTTATTCAAGAGGAAGGATAGTAGGCTCAAGTGAGCTGGACCAGCAGTATGCGTTTCCGAAGTGATGTCTGAGTTGAGAGGAAAAGTAGGACTACTTGTTAGACTATTCTGTTATCAGATTGTCCTTCGCCGGACTTTCCCTTCCTCGTGAAGCCGGCGATTCCCCTCCTCACCTACCCCTCCACGTCCCTCCTACTGTCTCCGGCCCTTCCAGCTCTGATTTTTTTTAGCACCTTTGCCTGAAATACTCAAAAGTGTACTAAGTATGGTGTTTATGTAGCGTTAAGGTTATTATCACAATCACGTTGCATAATAACTCAAGACCATGACCATAATCGTGAGCAGTGCACTACTTCACCCTCACTTTCTCCTCACTACGTTGCCTGCTCTACCTTCATTTCTCACCACCCTTTATCTAGCCCTTTTCTTTTTTCCTCCTCTACGCTCCTTCTACTCTCTCTCCGGCTGCCACGGCAGCACCATGTAGAATGAGGCTGAGTGTGTTCGATAGGTGTTTATATACCCGCTGTGGGTGTTATCATGATCATGAAGTCAACATCACGAGGTGTTAGCCCTTCGAACTCCCCGGTTTTGTTAGCGGTTGGTCCGGACGACGGACCACGAACCGACACACAACACACCGACAAACCGTAATAACTAGTGCGTTCATATAATGAAAGTAATTCAAGCGCATCGCCGTGACGCCTCTCAGAAGTTTTTTTTCATTCAATTTCGTTGGACACAACGTAACTCGGCGAATCGTAGCCATTGCTCTGAAACTGCAGCTCACTTATTTTCGAAAGCAACGCAAGTCATAAATAATTTTGTGATAACATTTGGAAATGCTTTCTGCTTATCCAAGTATTTTTGAGAAACCGTAACAAATTACCAAGCTACAGAACGCACACATTTCCATGGAAATTCAATGGTTTTTTGGAGTGTGATGCTGTCTATTTAATGATGTTCAGTGTTCTAGTTATTATACATTTGTAAAGGTGATTTGCATAGGTATCCGAATGGAAGTCCCTATGCAGTCGCCAATGGGTTCACCAATGGGTTCAAGCCTGATACTTGATGAGAGGACAACGCCTATGATGGAGCTGAGCCCACCTGGCATGCATGATCCATGCAGTGAGGTTCGTATTTTCCAATTTTAGAACCTTGACTTATGTTACCCAAGTCAAATCATTGAAAGGCTCCAACTTCCGTACATGAACATTCGCTTCTGTAGTGGTAGTTACCACACAGAGAACATTAATATCTTCATTTCTAAAAAGTAGTAGTGCAAGAGTTGAAGCCGCGCTTTTGAAATCGCGGGATGAAATTGATTATCAAAATTCACTCGCAGCAAGTACAGCGCTCGATAAACGTCAGAAGCACTGAAAGGATGTGGTCATCAAAAACCAGCGAAATTTCTCGGATTGTCTTGTTTCCGGTGAATAATATTCATAGTGAGAATTGGGTCTGAAACTTGATGTCGAACTTCCGTGGAAAAACCGGTACATATGCAATATTGCTGCGAAGTATTTTCCGATCCTGTGTTCATATTGTTGAAATGAACGCTGAATCAAGTCGCCAGGAAACCATTCCCATTTCCACTTTGTTGAAAGTGTCTCATGTATTGATTTCCGTCTTTCTCAATCAGCTTGAGACAATCTCATGGCATGTTTGTGGAGAAGAGTTGCTCTGGCGACTTTCTTGCCTTCTGCACTGGACCTTTTTCTCGAAGAGTGTGAGAGTTGAATGTGTAAGTTTTGCTTTCAGGCTGGTAGTCTACCGAATCTTCAGCACGGCATGACACCCCATCAACAGCCTCCGCCATTTTATCACCAAACCATCGGTCAACGCCATAGCACTGGTGGAGCGCTTGTGGGTGCACCACGACTAGCGCCATCAACTCGGACGCCTGAAAGTCAATCGGCACCTACGTCACCAGCTAATAATCTTGATCCGTCGCAACAACTTCAGTGGCATGGTACAAGGTAAGCGAAATTCGAATATTTGCTTCTTCATTGTAAGTTCTGGCCTCTAAAAGTTGAGTAATC